TTATTTATTTATTTATTTATTTGAAATTCATATTTCATTGCCGGAGGTTTATGGCAATTTTCCTGAAAGTGGGCGGAGTTCGAGCTGAGGCGGAAATGTGCGCGAGAGCAAGTAGTGAAGAGCTCGAGAGGTGAATTAGCCCTGCGTTTTTGTGAGTACAGCATGAATTGTGGCCATAACAGCAAATCATTTTTGCTTGTATTTATGGTGTTTAGAGTGAATAAACAACTCTGGTTACTTTTTTGTTTTTAAAATTTTTAGAGCCATTACTAGTAGCTGCGCTGCTAATTAGCGCTATTTTTTAGAACGTGCACAGTCGCTCGCGGGCTCTGTGTTGGTGATGCTAGCTGTATGAATGCTATGCTAGTATGAGAGTAATTACATAACCTGTCGCGTTTTACTTGAAGGGATGTAGCTTGCAAAGCTGTAGCACTGAGTACTACGTAAAATATAATTTTAAAAAAATTAGCATAGTCATTTTTTTTCATCACACGTGCTGTACAGCCCTTATAGGCTTTTAATCCTTCTCTTGATTTACCTTCATCTTAAAGTTTTGTAAAGTATTTTATTATTATTATTTGTTCAGTATTTTTAGTTCGAGTATCTGCTCACCTGTTTCTAACACTTTTCCTCTCAGCTTCGTTTCACAGCCAGCTTGCTGCCCTGTCACCCCGGCCGCCCCCACCCAATGAGTGAAACAAAGATGGAAGAAAAGGCAAAGGAAGATATTGGGACTTCCAACTCCAACAAAAGGTAAGGTTACTTTGTTTTACACTGCGTGCACAATTATAAGGCAAGTTGTAGCTTCGAGGATTCATTTTATTGTTGAAGTCTGTCAGTTTCTTCATCTGTTGACGATCAACTTTTTTGTGCAGCAACAATCGCAGCCTCCCAGACACTTCAGAGAGGTGGACTGTTTTCCTTCACCATAAACCTCCTGTTTAAGAACGGCCCACAAGTTCTCAATAGGTTTTAGGTCAGGTGAAGGGGGGCCACATCATTATTCTTTCATCTTTAAGGCCTTCACTGGCCAGCCACACAGTGGAGGACATACATGCATGAATAAAAGGTCTTTTTAAAAGATGCAGATGTTTTCCTGAACCACTGCTTGAAGGAAGTGCCTCCTAAAAACTAGGGGTGTAAGAAAATATCGATACACTGAAATATCGCGATATTTCATTTCCCGATACTGTATCGATATTCTAAAGCCCTGTATTGATTTTTTATTAAG